ACTTCTTCCTTATTTTTCTCAACTGCATTGTATAGTGTTTTGATACCTTTTATAATCCTTTTTCTGAATTCCTTCTCAGGCATTTTCAAAGCCTGCCCATCTTCCAGTATGGAGTATAGATCTACTTCCAGCTCATTTGCCTCAGTCACTTTATCTCGTTTCTGGACATGTGCAGATATGGTCATCTGCTTTTGTTATTTGGGCATCTTCAGGGGTTATCTGTGGCCTTAATACTTAGATGGGTGTGTATTTTGGTATTTTTTATACTTTCTGAATGCCTCCAGGTAAATGTGATCAGGAAATGGGCTTCCCTTTTCACTCTTCTTCCTGAGAAGTTTCAAGATACCACTGTTGGTCGTTTTGACATAACTTAGGATTTAATTTTCGACCCATTTCCTCTTTTGTCTGCTTGTCCCACTCTACAATCCCCGTTCAGGCCTTTTTTCTAGTTGGAAACAGTTCAGGACCAGCTGTGGCCATTTGGTTTTAATTGGAAACTGTCTCTTTAAATTTCAAGATCTGTGAGCATGCATAGTAGAACCCTCTCAGGGTGGGGCTGGGGTGCCCACTAGCTCAGGCACCCCTAAAGTCACCAGAATGGAGGTGCATAGACAGCAAGGGAACAATGAACAGATACCAGAAGAAAAGAATGTCCACACCTTTTACTCAGCAGCTCTGCCAGGCATCCGTGGCCGCTCCGATCCTTCCCCTGCTTGGTCTCACCCAAGATGGCGGCTCCTGGAGCAGCCAAGTGTCCTGGACTAGAAAGCAATAGATTCTTGCTTCTGCCACAAATTCCCCCAACTGTGAGCCTTCCAACCTTCTAAATATTTCTTTATATGTGGTTCAGAGTTCTGGGACCATCCCCTGAGCCTGCTTGGTCAGGTAGTCTGTGTTGCTGTTGGCAGAGCTCCTTTACTGCACTTCCACCCGATCCGCCATCTTGTTTGTTCTCCCCCATGAATTGTTTTTATATACCCCCTATATCATAAGCATTTTGCTAAAGGTAATGCAGAAACGGCTACAATCATACATTGACAGAGAACTTCCAGAGGTTCAGGCTGGATTCAGAGGAGGCCCTGGAACGAGGGATATAATTGCTGATGTCCGATGGATCTTGGCTGAAAGCAAAGAATATCAGAAAGATGTTAACCTTTGCTTTATTGACTATGCAAAGGCTTTTGACTGTGTGGATCATGACAAGCTATGGACAACATTGCGAAGTATGAGTATTCCAGAACACTTAATTGTGTTCATGAGAAATCTGTACCTGGACCAAGAAGCAGTTGTTCAAACAGAACATGGAACACTGAATGCTTTCAAATTTCAAAAGCTGTGTGACAAGATTGTATTCTTCACTATACTCATTCAACCTGTATGCTGAGCACATAATCCAAGAAGCTGGGTTCTATGAAGAAAATCGTGGTATCAGGATTGGAGGAAGACTCATTAACAACCTGCGATATGCAGATATACAACCTTGCTTGCTGAAAGTGAAGAGGACTTAAAAACATTTACTGATGAAGATTAAAGATCACAACCTTCAGTATAGATAACAAAAATCCTCACCACTGGACCAATAAACAGCATTCTTATCAACGGAGAAAAATTAAAGTTGTCAAGGACTTCATTTTTCTTGGATCAAATATCAACACTCACGGAAACAGCAGTCAAGAAATAAAACGACGTACCCACTTGACCTGACTTCAATGACTGGTCAGAGCTCAACTAGAAGAAGAAAGAAGAGGAAAAAAAGAGTAATCTGATACAATTTGATGAACTTGACCTATACCTATGGAGGCAGTAGCTCAAAAGAGGGATCAAATCTTTACCGTAAGGATCATTCCCACCCCCTCCATACATAGAGTAGACAGGGATGGGCAACTTGGACATTGGCTACCCAAAATGGGGGCCTACAAAGGCAAAAAGTGACTGCCTTACAAGCTTTCAAGAGGGAACCTAGATCCAGAGCGTGTGGAGGAAGGTGGAATTACTGAGTAGTATCCAATCTGTCTATGTGGGGCTGATGAAATGCAGATAGGTCTTTTGTGATACAGTAGTGAATAATTGTTATCAGGACTGATTGTGAGGGTTGGAAATGTAAAGGTAGACGTTTTATAGCAAGGCGGGGAGTGATTAACTTTGTAGTCTAGGAGCAGAGTTCCCTGGGACTATCAAGGGAGAAAAGCAGAGAGTGGGACCCTACCCAGAGAAGTAGTGATGCCAGAGATGGAGGCAGAGACAATGATGTGGAGAGAAGGAGCAGCTGGGGACTCTAGACCCAGAGAGGGAGAGGGACTGTATGCTGACGACCCGGGGGCAGGCTTGTAGTGTATACCCTTTGGTTGGTTGATAATGCATGGAGGGGATTATAACCATGGCGATGAAACGATAAATGATAGGATGAATGTGAAACTAATGTTTTCCCATGTAAACTATCACATAATTCACAATAAAACATTAAAATAAAAATTTTTTTAAAAGATTTCAGGGAAAAATAGAAATCAAACTACGTATTGCATTAGGCAGGTCTGCACAAGACCTTCTTAAAGTGTTGAAGAGCAAAGATGTCAGCTTGAGGACTAAAGTGCACCTGACCCAAGCCATGGTATTTTCAATAACCTCATATGCATGCGAAAGCTGGACAGTGAATAAGGAAGACTGTAGAAGAATTTATGCTTTTGACTTATGGTGTTGGAGAGAATATTGAAAGTGCCATGGGCTGCCAAAAGAACCAATAGATCTGTTTTGGAAGAAGTGCAGCCAGAGTGCTCCTTGAAGACAAGATGGCCAAATTTCATCTCTCATACTAAGGACATATTGTCAGGAGGGACCACTCCCTGGAGAAGGATATCTTGTTCGGTAGGGTGGAGGGTCAGAGAAAAAGACGAAGACCCCCAAGGAGATGAATTGGTCATGTGGCAGCATCAATGGACTCAAGCATGGCAACAGTAGTGAGGTTGGCCCAGGATCAGGCAGTGTTTTGTTCTGCTGTCGCTATGGGTTGGTACCGACTTGATGGCACCTAACAACAAATATCATAAGCAAAGAAAGAGAAAAGTATGTAAGTAAAATCTAACACCAAGTTTTCGTGAGCCATACTTTCTAAAACCATCTGTTAAAAAATTGCTCTCACAGTTTGTGTGGGATTGACACCAACATCTCTGGTCAGTCATTTCTGAAACAGCCCTTTCCTAAAAATAGTATATGTTTGATCTTTTCTGTTCTTTACAAACCACTCCTATTCACATTATGTCTTCTCAAAATTTATAAAATGATGTGAGAGATATTAGTAGCTTGAAACCAGGTGTTGATGATGAAAATTGGTCAGATTTTAAACATATTTAAGTATAAAGTCCACAATGTGATCAGAGGAATGGATAATTGGGTGTTAGAAAAAAACATTAAAATAATTCCAAGCTTTTCCCCTCAACAGTTAGAAAAATAAATACATCATTTACTGAAATGTTGAAGACTTGCACTGTAGGATAAGCACTAGTCCACAAGTTCATCTTCAACTGCGAGTTTGGCAGTTTAAACCCATCAGCCACTCTTTGGAAACCTCGGTCACTATGAGTTGAAACTGTCTCAACGGCACTAATAATAGCAACAGTAGAAAAGAGGTTTGGAAGTGGATGAAGTTTATGAACTTAGTTTTGGATATAAATTCAAGAATTTATTTTAAATTTGAATGGAAGTATTATGTGTAGACAGTTGAATACATGAATTTAGAGTTTAGGAGGAGTCTACTTGGGTGGTGCAAACTGTTAGGCTCATTGCTGCTAACTGAAAGGTTGGTAGTTTGAGCCCATCAGATTGTTACAAGAAAGGCGTGACCTGGTGATCTACTGTCAAAACTCAGCCATTGCAAACCATACAGAGGACACGTCTCTGATAACACATGGGTTACATGGAGCCACCATGAGTAATCAACAAACATACAGCAAGAATACTGAAAACCTAGTGAAGAAAGTGTTTGTGGAAAAAGAAGGAGAGTTGTGAGTTGTATCAGATACCACTGATAGATCATTTAGAACAAGTAAGGATCCGGTACTCTATATCTTATGGCAAACAACAATAGTTCCTAAGTCTTGATTTCAGTTCATGTCACTCTGAGTTCCCACTCCCTTCCTGGCAATCTGTAATTGTTATTTTAATTCTTAAATAATTGTGCTTATGTTTGATATTGTAGGAGAATCCAAACCCTCACATGGCATTCCAGAAGGTGCCACGCCCAACAGAAGGATCCCACTTGCGAGTTCATATTCTTCCTTTCCCAAAGATTAATGAAGCCCGGGTTCAGGAATTAATACAGGAAAATCTTGCTAAGAACCAGAATGCACCACCTGCTACACGAGTGGAAAAGAAATGTGTTGTGCCAGCAGGTCCACCTGTTGGTATGTATTTGTCTGCTTACCTGTTTGTTTGAAAAGTTAGCTTTTTATCGAGCTTTAAGACACAAAATGAAAAGTACACATATCATAAAATGAACATCTTGATTAACTTTTCTGAAAGTGAATTAACTCATATAGCCACTTCCAAGATCAAAAATCAGAATATTATCAACACCCAGAAAACCTGCTTCATTCCCTGTTTCCTACAAAGGGTAATTGTTACCCTAACCTCTACTGTTAATAAATCTTTTTCTTAGTAACAGCTTTTTTGAGGTATAAATTACATACCATGAAATTCACTTTTATAAATTATAGTTTGGTGATTTTTAATATATTCCATTTTCAACCATCACCAACCAGATGGTGTTGAGTTGACTCCCACTTCCAGTGACGTTATGTGTGTTGAGTAGAAGTGTGGTGCATAGGGTTTTCAGTGACTGACTTTTCTTTTTATTGGCAGTAAATTGCCAGGCCTTTCTTCCAATGCCCCTCTGGGTTACCATGAACTTTGAACCTCTTGACTGACAGCCAAGCTTGTTAACCATTTGCACAACCCAGGGACTCCTGTCAACCATTACCGCTATCGCAATGTAATTTCAGAAGGTTTTAATCACCTCAGAAAGAAGCCCTGTACCCATTAGCAGCCACACCCTATTTTCCCCAAACCATCCCCTACCCAGCCCTAGGCAAGCAGTAATTTCCTTTTTGCTTCTATGATTTTGCTTATTATGGATATTCCACATAAATGGGGCATTCCATATAAATGGCTTATTTTGTTTAGCATAATGTTTTCAAGGTTCATACACATTGTGTTGTAGTAGGTATAAGGACTTCATTGCTTTTGTGGCTTAATAATGAAGTCTTGGTGTGGCACTGTTGGATAAAGCACGGAACAGCTCTTCACAAGGTTGGCAGTTCATACCCACCAGCCAGCCACTCCTCAGAAACCCTAACAGAGTCACTATGTGTCATGGAACCAACTCAGTGGCACTAAATAACAACAACAGTAATCCATTGTATGGATATGTACCTCAGCAACATCTTGTTAACCATTAATCAATTGATGAACTTTTGGGTGGTTTCTTTCTTTTTTTTTTTTTTTTTTTATTACTCTTACAGATAATGCTGCTGTGAACATTAGTGTAAAGAATTTATGTGAATATGTTTTCAGTTCTCTTGAGCATATACCTTGGCATGAAACTAATGTATAATATTTTGTTGTTATTAAGCACCGTCGAGTTTGTTCGGACTCATAGGACTCCAGTGGATAAATTAATAACTCTTTAACATTTGAGAAACTGCCAGATGTTTTCCAAAGTAGCCTAACATTTTACTTTCAAACGTAGCAGTGATCATGAAAATAGCATATTTTGTTCTGGTGTATGTATGATCGCCATGAGTTGGAGCCAACTTGGTAACAACTAACAAAAACATCTTCTAGGAGTCATAGCTCTTTAGATTATTTTCCCATTAACTTTTTTTGTTTTTTTTGGTTTGTAAGTTGTAAAAGTTTTTCTCTGTATTCTGGATCTAAATACCTTCAGAGATACATGATTTGCAAATATTTTTTCCCATTCTGTGGCTTGCCTTTCTTTACTGATTTTTGTATCTTTTTTTTATTGGTCATATATATTTTTATGTTAATTTATTAGACACATATGCATATTTTAAAATTTGATAACATCCTAGTGATTGGTTTCTTTATGCTTGTGAAGTGACTCTCTCTGACTCTAATAAAGTTTCTTGTCTTAAAGTTTACTTTGACTAATGTTTATATAACTACACCAGCTTTCTGCTTAGTGTTTGTTTGGTGTATCTTTCTCCATCCTTTTATTTTCAGACTTTGAAGATGTGCTTCTTGTAAGCTGTGTATGACAGGGTTGTGGGGGTTTTGTTTGGTTTTCGTTTTTCAGCCAGTCTGATGATCTTAGTATATTACTTGTATTTATTTGATTAGTATTTAATATAATTTCTGATATAATAATGGTTGTATTGAAGTTTACTGTTTGCTTTTTTCCATTTACCTCTGCTTTCTTGCCCTAAAAAAAAAAATTACACTTTTGGATAAAATTATAAATTAAAAGATTAATTTTTTTTTTTTTTCCATAATTTTTTACCTTTTCTTTTTTTTTTTTTTTTTTTTTTTTTTTTTTTTTT